CAATAAATAACATTATGTAAACAAAGATAATGAAACAATATTGTGCTTTGATCGGAGGCATGTTCTAAGTACCTGAAACACATTTGTTTCTTAAAAATATGTGTAACATTAATGGCAATGAACAATTATATACCCTTTTTAAGATGTTATTCATTATCTAAATAAAGGCAGTTGTTTTGTTTATTCTTTTTGGTACTTCAGTTTTATTTATATCAATAATTATGTGTAAGCTATTATTTCTTATTGTGATATTTTCTGTCTTAAAGTGTATGTCAAGTTTTACATCATATATATATATATATATATTAATATGTGTTATGTTCATGGTATCCAAAAAGTGAACTATTTAAATATATAAAAAATAATGTTGGTATTGTTAATGCCATAATTTGTAGAGTTGTAACCAGTGCATTATTTGTGTTGTGTATGGATATTGAAAGTGAAGTCTTGAGTAGATGTTTTCCAAAACTTATTATTATGAAGTGTAAAGTATGTTTATCAATAATTGTTATCATGGTTGTATAAATATTGTACTTTTCTCTCAGTTTTGATTAAATATTTAGTGATACATCATTTGATAACAATAAAACAACTGTAATTTTCAATTTTTCGGTATTCAAAAATTAATAGCATTTGCTTATTGTACTTGTATAGTTAAATCGTATGGTGGTAGTGAGGGGGTTTGAACGGTACTTTAGAAATGTAAAGCAGGTAATTTTAGTTTTTGTAATGTGGAATCTAATTAAACATGATCTCAAAAACAGCAGTTCACCAATTTTATTCTCACTGTATACAAGTGTGGCTTCACTTATATATTGTACATATCTATCAGTTTTAATTTGGAAATTTAAGACTAAACCATATTAAATTCAGGAACATGCATGTTTTTCATTGAGAGAAAGAATTAGAAATGTCAAGTCACAAGCATAATTTTTTTTTATTTGTATATAAGTACACATGTCCAATTCTACATTGTTGTATGTGTGTGCATAGTAGTACTCTAAAATTGTCAGTTGTTAATTGGTATGGGTTGTTTATTATTTTTAATATCACATATTTTTTTTAACAGTGTAAAGGTTTCTTTTTTTCAACTGTTAGGTTGTGCTAAAATATTTTAAGCAAAGTCCCCATTTCTTTAAGCACAATTGGGGTGCATTCATTAGTATCAGTCTTGTTTAACTAGCTATTCATTGGACAATTACTGTATATTCTAAGATATAAACAAAAACACAGAGATTTTACTGTAGACAGCCAAAATTCTATATTGTAAATACAATATGAATTTGAGCATTTATTGTAATTGATGTGAGAAAAAATAAAAGTTCCATAACATTATTTGTGACCACTGATGTACTAGGAATGGAGCATACATAACTCATCTCTGGTTACTTTGAATTTTCCACATAAAATAAAAGCAGTATTAGGAGAGCAAAACAAGAAGTATAACTATTTTTATTGTATTATTCCTAATGAATAGGTATTTAGATATATAAATAGGTAAGGACACTGAAGGATGTATGTTTTAAAGGAGCATCATTGTTTTTATTTTACTAATAGTCAAACTGGAAGGTGTTAATTTTAGAGGAAGTTTGTAATGATTAGTAAGAAATTGTCACAAACTTTCTGCATGATTTCATATGACCTATCAACATTCATCAAGCAGAAGAAATGTATTTGGTAGACAAACCATCAGCAATAAGAAGGCTTTACCTTGGGCTCATCCCTATCACTAATACTCCTTGATATTTACATGGAACATTTTGAGGATTATGCTCTCAAAACAGATTGTTGATCATATGTTTGTAATATGAGCACACCCTACAGACAAGATTTCAAAAAATCTTAAACTAGTTACCAAGACAAATAACTTGTGCATCGTAGCAGTGTACAAGATACCCACAGATATGGGTGTAAATTTTGACAATAATTCAAACCATCTTATCAGCATAAACACAAGCATCATAGGCTGGCTATTTTCCAGAATGAACAAAATTTGTAAAACCTATGATTTTAAAAACCTCCTTGATAATGGATACCCAAACACTTGATCAAAAAGAAGATATTTACAGACACACAGCCATATTCATCTAGGTGAAATTATACAGAGGATATGAAACTGCATAGTGAGAACAGTGTTCAGAAGCCATGACATAATAATCACCTAAACTCCCAATGGAGAGCATAAAACACCATTTACAACATTCCATGTAAATTCAAACTCCAGTACATTGGAAAAACAAAATTAAGAATCCAGGAGCATAATAGATACACAAGACTATAATACAAATCTTTCTGCAATAGCCAATCATCTTATAGACAAATAATATAATGGGATGTGAACTACACACATGATAAAGAAAAATAAAATAAGCCTTCTACATCCACCTAACTGATAATACACTCAGTTAGCTTAACCTGGATATTCCTCTTGAAAATATTCAAATAAGTTAGTTGATTAGGTCCTAATAGGGGGGAAGACTCCAGACAAATAAATAGCATAAAAGCATCTCTCAAAAAAATCCTGGCCACTACCACCACAAAAAACAATCCTCAAAATTTCCATGAATAAGTCAGTAGATTAGTAGCCAAAATGTAGGATAAAAATGAGTTAGTAAATTGTGCCTGTAATTGAAAATAATTAGTCACTACTTACACTTAGGTGATAGTATAGGCTACTAAGTGTAACAACAGTTGATACATGATCACTACAGCCTTATCTGAAGTACTTCCAAAAAGGTAATTGATACACCATCTATCAGATTATAATTTGAAGCCCACCTATAACATTTAATCTGGTAGAAAAGTTGTAGATTGTCCATAATTTGTTCTATGCCATTCATCATTGTTCACCAGGCACAAAAACTGTATGAAGTTGGTGGGTCACCTATTAGCACACATCAAGTGGATTTTTGTTTGTTATTAAGCACATAGCTATGCAATGGACTATTTCTGCTCTGCTCATTGTAAGTATTGAAATCTAAATTTTAGCATTGCGAGCTGTGAGATTTACCACTGGGGTGGGATGAGGACACAAATCAGGTCAAAATATTGCATAGTTGGTAGACTACCCTTCAGGCAGAAATGATGTTGTTTGTAAGCCACAATTTTATACTAAAATGCACAGTAAAAAAAATTGCAATTTTATTCTTCAAAAGGTACATAAAAACATTATTTCAGATTGCATGGCACCAAACCATCAACTATCATTATAAAATTTTAAATATATTTGAAGAATCAAAGAGTTGGTTGAAAATACAAGATAAACATAACTGCTCTGGAAATTTCAAATACATTATAAACAAAGTTAAAGATTACAACTTTTCAAACTGGGCAGTAGTAATGTTTAATTAACACAAGTACAGTAGATGTAAAAGTGCATGTAAATTTTGAGGATATGAGTTTAAGAAAAAAGAAATGGTATACTGTGAAGTAAAAATTTTATTTTTCTTTGTATTGCTTAATAAAAATAAGAAGTAAAATGTATGAGCTTGTATACATTTATCATAATTGTTACAAAAAGATACAATAGTAGGATTATATATTTAGAACATTTTCATACAACTTTAGCATGTACCAAATTCAGTAAGGCAAAACAAATTATACTTCGTGTGTGTGTGTATATATATGTATGTTGTAACTGGAACAGTTATGTATGTCACCCATTGTATAGTTAGTTTGGATATTTTTTCCATTTCCATGTATATTCACATAATGTTTCTAAATTTCCATGCAGTTTTTGCATGTTGTTAATCATGTCCATGTTGACTGTATGTCTCAATGTGGTAATCAGACTAATCCTTTTACACAGGTAAAGGTTCCATACTGTAACCTTTGTTCTCAAGTCTAGAGCTAATGTATATATATATATATATATTTCTGTATGGACTTGTAGGAAAGTAGCCTATTCAAACATGTAACATATGAATCTGTATTAGCTGGCTTAGGACTGTATGGAAACTGAGTACTTAAGGGATCCTGCATTAAGGCTTTTGCCTGGCTATAAATTTGGAGTATTCACACAGATCTCTCTTTCTTGTTTCTTGGTGTCCTTTTTTTAATGAAGGTCCCCTTCCCCCCTGTGCAGCCGGTTAATCAGTATACAGGAAGTTTTAAGCAAGCCAGTTCTGGATTCTTCAAAATACTTTTGACTTATCTGTTAGGCATTAGTGTTCCTAAATATTACACACACACACACACACACATATATATATATATATATATAGTATACATATAGGTTACAGTTGTGGTGATCCAAACTAACTTAGCAAAAGGTTTTCTCTTGACCTACTTGTATGGGTATTTATGAACAAGCAGATGCATCGTTTAGTACCCAGTCAGAATGAAATGCTTTAAAATGAAAATTTGTATGTAACAGCACTGACTATAAGAACCTGAGGATGGCAAAATGGAGAGTAACTGCCACTTATTATAAGAGTGAGCTGACAGAGAAGACTTGAAAACATCTTAATCATAGTTCAATTACACTTGTTTTACCAGTGTTTGTTAACACCATTCTAGTGGTTTAAACTTTCCATTGAATATTTCACCTGGTAGTCTGTACATATGTCAAACTAGTTAGTAGTTGTTGCTTTTTCAAGGAAACTGGAAGGGGTATTTAAATTTATGCAATCAATAAGAAAAGTACTGAAATAAAAAAATACATAATGGAATATACCTCTCATTATTTTTTCTTAAAACATTTTTAAAAGTGAAATTTCTTTTTGCTTAAAATAAAATCACACATTTTGGCATATTTTTTGTTAATACATGAATTTTACCTGTTGACTCAAAATTCCTCGTTTTCTCTACATCAAAAGTAGTGCCTCTACATTTGAGATTTTAATACAAGTGCCGTTGTAGTAAAAAAAAAAAAAAGCTATATAAAAGCATTCACATATTCATTATGTGACAAATGAACAATGTTTTTTAAACATAATGGTGTTTATGCATTTTTCAGTTTGTTTTTTTATACATACTTCATTCTTAAAATTTATATTAGACTTTTTTGGGAGGGGGAGGATATTTATGGCAAATTGAATATTGGCATTCATTATTACCTTAGGTTGTAGCACATAGTGAAACCTTGTAAACTGACATTTCATCTAAATTCAGTCTTGCTCTTCTTGATAAGGATGACAACCTGCTCACAATCTAAATTAGGGTAGTATGTATATTACACACACAAACAAAACTTTGTTTAAAAAAAAATGCTAATTAGATGAACTATCCCATTTTTTTAATTGAAAAGAGAAAATTATCCATTTGTACTTAAGTAATTGACCCACTAACTTATCATTTAGGTTCTTATTTGCCAAAATAAATATTTAGAATAAAAACAATTTCACTAAATTGTTTGAATTATCTGACATCATCAACACTAAGAATAAATAATTAAAACCTAACATTAATAAAATATAACAAGTGTATTTATATTAAGTTAATTATATTTAAAACCAGAGGGAACTACAGTACAGCCTCGTTTATCCAGTCAGATGTGGGTCTAAGCAATTAATGGCCACATTATTTTCTTACCTGTTTCTCCTTTATAGAAACTTTTGCAGTTTAAAAATTCAATTTTATACACTGGCAATGACACTGATAATAAAGTCGTTTAGTTAAATTTTGAGTGTAACTCTGTGAAAAGATCATGACATTTGCACTTTGGCTGCCTGCTGTACAAATAGGATTAAATATCTTTTTCCTGCAATCAGTCCAAACTACTCTCTTTATTTTAAAACTTTCCAGTCAATTTCTTTCATGTTTTTGTATTTACATTAAATGAATTACAGACAATTTCTTTATTTCACAATGTCTTTGGTTTTGTACTTTGAATTTTCTGATTTTAATATCTCGAAATACAATAAAATTCACAAAACTGTATAATTTATTTTGCAGAACTATACTCAATAAAATATTTCTAAAAAAAAAGGTAAATCAACTTTTATTAATAAGTAAAATTGACAAACTACATCTTAATATTTCTACATTATTGTATGTTGCCTTAAATATATTTTGCAAAAACTTGGTATGTAATGTTTTACTAACTCTTGTGTCTTCAAACAATGCTCATAACATACAGATTACAATGAATGAATTACCAGTGTTATTAAGTTGTTTTCATATTGAAATTAGAATCACTGTTCATCAAAATACTTGTTGTCCTTGATGCAAGTCAACAGGTAGATATGCAGATGATAAAATAATGACTTAGGGAATCAACTGTACTTACCAGCTCTCATTTTAACAAAAGATAAACTGTTCTTAATCTTGTATAATTTAATTTTATTATATCATCAATAAGAAACAGGTCACGAAATACTTTGGGATGAAATTCTTTTCATACACCAACCCAAAACTAAAAAAAAGAAAGAGACTGTTTAGAAACTACAGAAATCATCAGAGCAAAGCTCTCTCACTAAACCATGATAATGGCCCTACCAACGTCAGTCATATCTGGCAAGGTCTATTCACCATTCATACACTTGACCAGATTTTACCTATATCCTGTCACCTGCTGACACCATTTCCATCACATTTAACCCCTGTGTCTTTTGTCTTTGTAATGAAATATAAACCTAGTATTGATTAGTACTGATCATGCTCAAAGAAGACAGACCAATGTTCTGTTGAAACATAGAATGCTCCACCATCAATAAAATTCTTCCTTATGCTTATAAATTGTTGTTTGTCTACCTATTAACACAGAACTTCTTCAAATCAAAGTTTTTCATAAATTAATGCAGCCATTTAGTTGATTATTAAATCAACCATTCATCTGCTTCAATTTTTTCACATTTTCAAACAAATGTGGTTAACTGTTTTTATAAATTATGTATTTTTTGTATATACAACAGGCAGTTTCGTTTGAAAAAATATCAAAGGCTCATAAAAACTTTTCTGTAATAGCATATTTTTCATACTGGGAAAAAAGTACTTATTAATAAAGTGTTGCCCATATAAATAGTAATAAAGTTACATTAAAGTACAAACTCAAAAACATTTAGATGAGAAAACATGTCAGAAACATTTATTTACAAAAATGTGTGTGTGTTTTATTTCTGTCCAGTTCATATTATCTGTTCTTCAAGTAGTCAATATAGTGCATCTGTTGTCCTCATTAGTGGACAGATGAAATCTTAAAAATAAACAATGAGTTTTGAAAGTGCATCTGACAATCTTCTTGATGGATCTTTCATCTGTTTAAAAGAATATATCAAGTAACATTACATTACAATGTACCAAATGAAACTCCATCTTGTCTTGTATGACTTTGTCTGAAATATGATACAAGCACTTTCAAAATAATTAACCAAATAAATTTTCACTACAACAAACACTCACAAAATAACTAACCAAACAAGCTTTCTGCACACATTTTTTTTCTTCTCAAAACATGATTCTCAAGTTAGAAATATCTCTTGTACACTCAACATCTGATTAAATAAAAAAAGTATCTGTGGATTTCTTTACTTTTAGTATAAATATTTTTAGAGTGGTCTTATTATTATTATTTTCTACTTTTAATATTAGAAGAACTTCTAAGGGTATAAGCACTCAACTCCACACCCTTATTTCATTTTCCAGACTGCTAACTAGTTTTTCATCTGCATTTAGATTTTGTCTGATAGATGGGATATCTCCAACGCTTTTGGATGATATCACCACAAGCAATTTCCGTTATGACTTTAAGGTTACGACTGGAAAATTGCAATGGAATTTTAAAATAAAAATAATTTTAAGGCTTAATTTATATATATATATATATATCAGTTTATGAACCTGACTTGATTTTTCTTTCAGATTTTGGTCAGTCAGGTGGCAGATAAAGGCAGCATCTTTGGTAGTCATCTTCCAGTTTCTGCAGCTGTCGTACACACGTAAGTGAAGTTTTAGTTTGGTCTGTTGGTCAAGTCGAGGTATGGCAAAACTTGAGTGCGTATATGACTGATTCTTTCTTTACCGAATTCTGTTGACGGTAAAGCATGATTGGAGGGTTTAGTGGCTTTAGTCCAACGTTTATTTGTGTGTGAAAAAAAAACGAATGAGGTAGTCTTATCGAAATGGAAATATTACTTCCTCTAACCGAAAAACATTTGACAGTAGACTTTTATATTATAAACACTGGTTTTGGGGACCGTCAGATCTACTCGGAATCATATGACCAGTACTTAAACAAACTCGAAATGAGTTTAACAGATTTATGAAAGCATGTTCCCAGTCAACCAAGTCTCTCTGATCCAGAATAACACAGAATCCAGCAGTTTTCATGTTATAGGGATATCAAATGAACGTGCATCAAATATTAAACAAACAGACTAACAAAACAAAGAACACGTTGCTTTAGAAACCAGAACAAGGTATTTGTAATTAGCATTTTTATTAAATTTTCCTGCACAGTAAGAATAAAGTTAGATCGTAGCTTTATTTTCAGTTTATGTTCTGTCCAATGATTCCCGAATTCTATATACAGGGTAGGGCAAAAATAACTCTATAGTTGTTTCATTTACAATATAGTTATTCAATTTCTAATATGTTACTTCGAAACAAACAATAATTAAGTTGGTTTACTTTTAATATTTTCTTTAGTGACAAGTATATAATACCAACTACATCAGCTGTACAGTAACTTTTGCCTCACCTATAAATCTCCCATACAGGGTGGCTGTAAATCTGTAAACACAAGCAACTTTATTGGTTTAGTAATAGCTTAACAACAACATTAGATAATGAATTCTCTCAAATTACTTCTGTAAAATATGTTGAAAATACATAATTAACTCGCGTGAATATTTTGTCTAGTATCTCATTTATGTTACTGAATCGTGACTATAACTCTTTGTATCCTTTGAGTTAGTACACTCGAGAATATAAACCATTGTATCTATTGGGTTAGCTAAATTATGGCCACAGCCCTTTGTATCATTTGGGTTAGCTAAATCATGACTATAACCCTTTGTATCATTTGGGTTAGCTAAATCATGACTAT